GATAGGCCTGGCCCTGGCAGAGTTGGCGTGGTCGGGTTGTGAGGGGACGTCCTCTCCTTCTTTACATACACAGCAGGAGGTGGGGTGGTGGTGAGAGGGGCTGCAGGGGCAGGGCTGCCTGCAGGCTGAGAGCCAGGGGCGGGGCTGGCAGCGGGCAGATCAAGGGGTGAGTCGCTGCTCTGCTCTTGGCTGCGTTGTAGACCTGACACTCTGGCAGAGCTGCACACCTTCGCCTCATCTCTCTCATCAACACCTATGTCTATTACCAACAAGAGAACATAGGTTACTAACCACAGTTTGACAGAACTGACAGAGTCATTTAATATTCTTTCCCACTTCAGATAAATACTGACACTGATGTGTCCATGCTTAGCTGAAACAACCTTCAGTCAGAGTGGTGAATAGCTCCTAATCGCTGTTGTACTAGGCCTACTTCTAGAAACAACAAATGAAGCAACTAACGAGTAGCTTCATAACAGCCAGTGGGTTCATGTCTTTGGAAAATGAGCATGTTCATATTACAAAGTGCTTACAATTTGTTATTTGCACCATTCGATCTTCCATTCACTGCCAGAAAATGATCATTAAATTCAACAAACAGCCTATTTCCCAGCACCAAACACAACCCTAGTCTCTATTCCCTGCAGTCTTTGAGCTCTGACAAGAGCCGAGGGCCCTAGGGAGAGACTAGTGGTGTGTTTACCATTATTTGTAATCATAACGTTCAATAGGCTGAACTCCAGATGGCTTATTGGGAGACTGAAGAGACCTCCAAAGCAAACAACAAATGCCCTCTCCAAAGCCCACCACAAGCAGCTTGGAGGTAGGGAGAGTTAAATGGGGAGCTCCTAATCTCGTTCACACAAGGCATATTAAACCCCTGGCTCAGCTCTAAAAAGGTTCTCACCGCCAGCCAGCCGGTGGGATTAGAGCAGGCTTTATGCTGCCTGGCCCTGGATGTGCGTCTCCTCTTGGCTTTTACAAGCCAAATGAGTTTGAGAAATCGTGGGTTTTGAAGGGAACACAATCTATCAAGCTGCCCCTATAAGGCCAAAGACCTCAGTCGGGTAAAGAATACTGAATGGGAACAACACCATTCAGTGATGTTGCTTTCAGCACCATTCTTTTGGGTGAAAATTGCATTTAATTGTTGAATTTCAGCACAGGAGGCTGCAGAGTGGAAAATGGCTCATAATAATGGCCGGAACAGAGCCAATGGAATTGCATCAAACACCTGGAAACCATGTGTTTGATGTATTTGATACCATTTCATTAATTCCACTCCAGTCATTACCACAAGCCCGTTCTCCCCAATTAAGCTGCCACCAACCTCCTGTGAATTTCAGCTATAGTTAGATCACAATATGGAATTGATGGTAAGGATGATAATAGGGAACATTGCAGTAGATTACAAAATTGCTTGAGCCAATAGTCTCATTGAGCATGAAGTGTGACTAACCCGTTCCTAGCCCCAACAAAGCAGCTAAGCCACTGGGAGTGGAGGTTCAATCCAATTCATAGCTAAAATGTTGTGTAGAAAACATTTATCAACTATTTCACGCAACTCAACACATATACAAATGCACAAATATCTCTGACAAAACACTGCATCATTATTCGGTTTTACTTCCAATATAATAAATCCCTCTAGCGCAGAGACTTTCCACAGGGTAAAGTAACGTTCGATGTCATTCCCACATTGTGTAATTAAGAGCAAGTATGTGAGTATCCTAAAATGACAAAGGCCATAACACTTTGACAACAATTTGGTAATACTTGATAACTGTGTGGCTTGAAAGAGGATGTTTCCCTTAGTCGAGTGAACAGAAATGGAATGCCATAAAAAGCATGTCAAGTGCATGTCACTAAGAGAGACATATCTATTCTGTAAATAACAACAGCTAAACGAGGACAGAGAGTCAAAAGCATACATGCGAAGTACCAAAAAATCCAGAGGAAATATTCTTACCAGTAGTTTTCCTTAGTGTGAAGAGTTTATCAGACCCAATCCCTGAAACCTGAGTTAAAATGAGAAAAGAAAGAAAATAACAAAAATGTTAGCCTAATTAGAGGCTAAATTAGGATTTTGTAGGTGCCGGTAGTGGAACTGTCCAGAAAAGTGCTTGCTTTTCCATCTTTAACAGCACTCTATCAACAGGACTGTTCTGTATACTGGCTCTTGTTCCACTCCCAGACTCGATGTGCGCTTTGTCACTCAAGGTGGGTGTGTTCAATTTCCCAATGAATGTAAATGAGATCAGAGGGACAAAAGGTGAGCCATAACTCTTGGTGAACCCAGTCCAAAGTTTCGAAATGAACTGAATGAGATTAAATCGAAACCATTCTTAAATAATTTAATGTAGTACGTGACAGCTCAATGAAAGCATCTTGTTGACAGGAGAATAAAAAGCATCTCAACATAGATTACATATTAAGACGTAATTTATGTAATCAGTCATATCTTCCCTGTAAGAGCACTCACTAGAAATATACATAAATGCCCATGACATTTACCTTGTGAAAAACTAATTAGAAAATAGATGAGACAAATTAAGTTAGTGAGTATCTTTTTTTTATTGTATTTTTTTTATTTTAATTTAGGGGGTAGATCAGTTAGTGAGTATCTTATTACAATCAATAAATTACATTACCAACAGTCTGTTTCTGATTACATTGCTGAATATTGGCCAGATTATAATAACAGGCAGCAAAGGACACACACACATGCACGCACACACACACGGACACGCACACACAAACTAGACTAATTAGCCATTTTCACTTGAATAATATATGTGGTGAGATCATCTTTAAACTTTATGTTCTTTGTAAAGTCATAGGGATGCTGTGAAACCACCTGATTATAAACTAATGGCATCAAATAAAGACGAATCAAACCGACCAGACTCAATTGCTAAATCAAATTGTTGATTTACTGGGTCTGAACTCAGCTGAAATTCAGCTGTGTTAAACCATCATGAGGTTCCTTTGGTGTTGCAAATGTAAGGACCTTTTTCCAGATATTCCTGGAATCCATCAGTCGATTAACAACCTTGCAAAATGCCACAATACTGTAATCTGGTTCATATGACCTCTATCATGAGTTCAATTTCAAGTTTTGGAGCCTCCAGATTTAATTTCAGGTTTCTGACAAAGTAAATAGATCATATGGAGGAAACAAGAGACAAGTTGTTATTATCAGAACGTCTTGACTTTCGTAAGAAGGCCTAATGATATTCACAGTGTAATCAAGTTATCTTCAGCAAATTCCTTAGATCAAATCCAATAATGAAATCAAAGAGAGCTGGTATTATTAACATGTAGACATTTATAACAAGGTTAAATGAGTATAATGTCCTCGGACACACAGACTGAACCTATCACTCACAAACCAGTAACAAAACACAAGTTAGAGTTATTTGTGGCCATTTACCCTACTTGACTTCGACTACAGTGAGGGAAACAAGTATTTGATCCCCTGCTGATTTTGTACCTTTGCCCACTGACAAAGACATGATCAGTCTAATTTTAATGGTAGGTTTATTTGAACAGTGAGAGACAGAATAACAACAAAACAATCCAGAAAAACGCATGTCAAAAATGTTATGAATTGATTTGCATTTAAATGAGGGAAATAAGTATTTGACCCCTCTGCATAACATGACTTAGTACTTGGTGGCAAAACCCTTGTTGGCAATCACAGAGGTCAGATGTTTCTTGTAGTTGGCCACCAGGTTTGCACACATCTCATGAGGGATTTTGTCCCACTCCTCTTTGCAGATCTTCTCCAAGTCATTAAGGTTTCGAGGCTGACGTTTGGCAACTCGAAACTTCAGCTCCCTCCACAGATTTTCTACGGGATTAAGGTCTGGAGACTGGCTAGGCCACTCCAGGACCTTAATGTGCTTCTTCTTGAGCCACTCCTTTGTTGCCTTGGCCGTGTGTTTTGGGTCATTGTCATGCCCATCCACGACCCATTTTCAATGCCCTGGCTGAGGGAAGGAGGTTCTCACCCAAGATTTGACGGTACATGGCCCCGTCCATCGTCCCTTTGATGCGGTGAAGTTGTCCTGTCCCCTTAGCAGAAAAACACCCCCAAAGCATAATGTTTCCACCTCCATGTTTGACGGTGGGGATGGTGTTCTTGGGGTCATAGGCAGCATTCCTCCTCCTCCAAACACGGCGAGTTGAGTTGATGCCAAAGAGCTCAATTTTGGTCTCATCTGACCACAACACTTTCACCCAGTTCTCCTCTGAATCATTCAGATGTTCATTGGCAAACTTCAGACGGGCATGTATATGTGCTTTCTTGAGCAGGGGAACCTTGCGGGCGCTGCAGGATTTCAGTCCTTCACGGCGTAGTGTGTTACCAATTGTTTTCTTGGTGACTATGGTCCCAGCTGCCTTGAGATCATTGACAAGATCCTCCCGTGTAGTTCTGGGCTGATTCCTCACCATTCTCATGATCATTGCAACTCCACGAGGTGAGATCTTGCATGGAGCCCCAGGCCGAGGGAGATTGACAATTATTTTGTGTTTCTTCCATTTGCGAATAATCGCACCAACTGTTGTCACCTTCTCACCAAGCTGCTTGGCGATGGTCCTGTAGCCCATTCCAGCCTTGTGTAGGTCTACAATCTTGTCCCTGACATCCTTGGAGAGCTCTTTGGTCTTGGCCATGATGGAGAGTTTGGAATCTGATTGATTGATTGCTTCTGTGGACAGGTGTCTTTTATACAGGTAACAAACTGAGATTAGGAGCACTCCCTTTAAGAGTGTGCTCCTAATCTCAGCTCGTTACCTGTATAAAAGACACCTGGGAGCCAGAAATCTTTCTGATTGAGAGGGGGTCAAATACTTATTTCCCTCATTAAAATGCAAATCAATTTATAACATTTTTTACATGCGTTTTTCTGGATTTTTTTGTTGTTATTCTGTCTCTCACTGTTCAAATAAACCTACCATTAAAACAATTATTTTTTCTTTTTTTTTGGGGGGGGGGGGGGGGGGGTATATATATATATAGACTGATCATTTATTTGTCAGTGGGCAAACGTACAAAATCAGCAGGGGATCAAATACTTTTTTCCCTCACTGTATGTCCCCAAAATAGCTTGAGGACCAACACTGAGACTAAAGACATCCCACACACTGTTTACGCTGCCCTTATGTAAATAAAATGGTCAGCCAAAAGACCTGACCCCATCACAACCCTCTCTGGCATTTGGAGGACCCCCTTCCTCTCAGTGCAATACAGCCTGGCCAGTTGACAGCGCAGATGGGAATACATGTGTAACCGGTGTGAAATGACTAGCTAGTAAGCGGTGCGCGCTAGTAGCGTTTCAATCGGTGATGTCGCTTGCTCTGAGACCTTGAAGTAGTTGTGGAGCGATAAGTAACGATGCTTCGTGGGTGGCTGTTGTCTGTGTGCAGATGGTCCCTGGTTCAAGCCAGGTTGGGGCGAGGAGAGGGACGGAAGCAATACTGTTACACATGGTTGAATGACAGAACATGTAGAGCACTGATAACTTATTATCAGTGATAACAGTTGTGAAAAGTGAGAATGTTTATCTTGCCTTGTCATCGATGTCACTCTCACTGTCACACTGCGTGAGAAAGGATGTAAAACACTGCATTAATTCATGAGAATGTATCAACACCTTCATCCATCACAAACACTCAAACTGGAAGAGAGTTGTTTACATTTCTGCTATGATCTGCCTACAGTCATATCAATATTACCCACAGGAACAAAAAGTGTTATTATCTGTCGAGAGATTATAATGAGACCTTGATTCAAGGTCATGACCTGTGTTTTGGGTGACACCTCCATGTTTACTCATACTCTATTGGCAGGGAGAGAACAGCAGTGGATACCGCAAGACTAGAGGCAGTAGCATGAAGTCATAAGATAACGGCGATTCAATAGCTGGCAGTGTCCTGCATATTATCCATATTACAATTAGATCAGTGCTTAACAGCCTGATAAAGAGCCTTCTTTCCTCCTTTGAAAAATATTATTTTATTTAAATCTCATTCCTGCTTACTTAGGCTTCTTTATTTGTGTGCCAACAGATGGTAATATGAATCCCTGCTGGAAGCCAACGAGTCGGTTTGAAAGATCCCAATAGTTCCTGGTACTGTATTGTACTGTATGTCTGTGACTGATGGGTGTTTACAGTAAGCTCCACAGCAGTATTTATCTTCATTAACTAAGTTTTCATTACAATATTCTGTTACATGAAAACATGTCTTGAAATAAATTCACATCACATGTAAATGCAATCAGTCTCTATTAGTTAATCTGGCACAAATGTGTAAATCGAACCATTACACTAATTAAAAAATAAGATTGTGGATGAAGAAACTTGACTCCAATCATTTAATTTAGTATTTTCAATGAAATCTTGATAAATATGTGCTGTATTTACAAATAATGCATAAAGAAACATTGAGATTCATTGAGATCAACTAATCATGGTTAGATTAGGACTAAAAACTGTGGTTATGTCTAGTACTAATATCACAAAAACAGTCTGTTTACAAATCGAGAGAGAGAGAGCGAAAGAGAGAGAATTATTATCCATTATGTCTGTCACCTTGTTCCTAGTGACAGACTTGTGTTTAACTGCTGGGTGAATTGAACTGTCTGCTCTAAGGGATTCATCATGCCAGGCGACACAGCAACACAACTGTGAGCTACTATGTCAGCCAGTCAATTTATACTGAAACCACTGATAACTCATGTGTCAAGTCCTGCTCACTGTCAACATGTCAAGATTACTCAGATCCACAAATCACTAATCCATGTTGACATGACACCTGTTTAGCTACATTACTAAATATCAGCCTGTTAGCTTTTGAGAACATTTTGTCACAGACTGTTCTTGTTCTCAAAATGCATAAGATAATCACTGACCCGGTTTTGCCCTCATACTCTGAGAATGACCATATGCAGATCATGGACATTAATTCTGTCAGAAAGGATTGAAGTCACTCACCGAATATCCCCGACTAGAGAATGAACTCTGTGGAAAGGAAGGATAATGTTAATGAGCAAGGGCTTATGATAGATTCTGATAAATGCCTTCTGTAATCACTCAATATGATGTTGTTTGCACACAAACATCCATTTATCCAGACAACACTGCTCATACCGCACTATGGTGTTCTTTGGAGTTGCTTCTCTGAGGCATGCCCTGTGTTTTGGTGACTTCAGCTCTGTCTTGCCTTCCCAGAAGCCCCTTCACCTGAGGGACAGACCAATTATCTTCCGTTCTTTGAGTTCAGGGTTATCTACATAACATTGAATTGGTAGACAGTGAATGTATCAACCCAGAAGAGAATCTGGACCACCAGAGGGCACTGTCGTATTACAGACATCAGTGAGTGATCACACATCAGTGAGGACATCCATTTCAATGACACAGTTAACCTGATTTAAAACAAGCAGAGATGATGTCCAGACTCATTGACTGACCGTGATGGGCAATTAGCACTAGGCCTGGGTCTGGCCCATCTGAGAGCCGGAGGCAACATGAATGCAGGTATACAGCGCATACATAAATAGGCGCACGCACACATAAACGCATGCACACACACACACGGATAAACGCGTGCACGCACAAATGCACACACACACACACACACACATACCATTGTGTTGGAATGGAAATCTTGAATGACAGATCCATGCAGCATAATGCATATTCAAATATTGATTCAGGAAAGAACAAGAGAGAAATTATATTGACTGAAAGCTTAGCACGTAGTGATGATGACACAGGAACAGTATGAAAAAAATGTATGCACTCACTAACTGTAAGTTGCTCTGGATAAGAGCGTCTGCTAAATGACTAAAATGTAAAATGTATTGATCTGAGGTTTGATGGTTTAAAGCTACCGTTCCATTGCATTCAGCCCGTTCCCGTAGTGTTGGCTGCTACACTTCACTGCTTTGACAGTCCAGCCCAGGACACTGCCTTCTTCTGTGTATGTGTTAGTGTAAAAATGATTCACTTAAATAGCATAGATGGTGTTTCACAGTGGCCGTGAACATGTCAAACATGCATCCTCCAGCAAAAGTCTCATGACTTGATTTGACACAGCCAGTGTGCTGTGTCAATGTGCAATGAGCTGCAGCAAAATACATGCTCTTTCTGGTGATCAGGTGAAACAGAAGAGAGGATGTTATCTGAGGTCCCTCTACTTCCTAGAGAGCACTCTAGAGGTTGCTTCAATGACACAATTTAACTGCTCTTGATTGAATCAAGTGTGCGTAGGTTTCATCCATTTCGTAGAGTAGATACCATCTACATACAGTGTGCTTAGATAAACAGTAAATTCAAGGAACAAAAGACACTTTGAAACAAACCCGATAATAGCTCTCTTCTGTATTGCATCGGAAGCTTCCATCCAACATACTGTTTTGCATACTGTTCAGTAGCGGAAACATCCACAAGCCAGGGGACATCTAGGCAATACCTTACAACAGGGATGTAGCTCAGTTGGTAGAGCATGGTGTTTGCAACGCCAGGGTTGTGGGTTCGATAAAAATAATGTATGCGCTAACTGTAAGTCGCTCTGGATAAGAGCGTCTGCTAAATGACTAAAATGTAAATGTAAGTAGTATGTGGTCTACACAAACAGATAAGGGTAGGGGAACTGGTTAGGCCAGGGACTGATATGGAAGCGGGCCTGTGTGTGTGTGTGCCTGGTGTGCTCTCTGTTACAAACACAGACATATCGTTGGCTGAGGAGGAAGCTCTTCACAAAGCACCTTATCTCATCACATATCTTTATTGGCCCTTGTTTCCTGTGTGGCTCCCCCCTGACTTCCTGCACAACAGACAGGCTTGTGCAAGGCAATTACTAGACCAGGATGGGAACCTTCGGAAATAAACCTGATAACAGAGTTCATTGACTGGCTGGTGCCAACAATTAACACCTAATGATGGAGACAGTTGTTTAAAACTGACAGAAACAGGATCGCCATTAGAAAAATAAAACTGTGGGATTGAAAGGGGATGACGTGAAACAGGAAGAAAGAACTCAAAATAAAACAAGCCTAGATTCTAAGTTACGCAAACAACCAAAAAGAATACATCCGCTGTAAGACCTCATTACTTCACTGGGCAAAACCCCCACACATGTGGACACACACATTACCAGGTAGACAGGTTTTGGTTTGTAGGAGAGCATATTCATTCAAAATATAATGAAGGTTAATACCACAGATCCAAAGGCTACCTGCTTGTTCTTCTTTGAGTTGTTTTTCACCTTCCCCCGCTCCTTCTCTCCATCCTGCTCATGTTCAAAGTCAGCTCCATTGTCAGTGAATCCATTCACAGGGATCTCAGCCCTCTCAGAAGCCTTTTGTTTCTTCAGCATCCGGCTCTCCCACTTCTTCTTACCCTCCTGCGACCTCAGGCTCTTTGTGGTCTTCCTCAGAGCCACCTACGAGAGAGCAAACACAAAAGAGGCTTAATATCTACAGCACAGAAAGAAAGAGACCTTGGTGTGGATGATGATAATGCTTAAGACTGAATCAATATGACAAGGTGGCAAGGGAATCCTTGCTAAAACCTCAAAAAATTAAATAAAAACCAATCTTAAAGACAAAGAGAATAGAAATAAAACCAAAGCTCATGATGCTTTGGTTTGTGTATTGAGGTCATATCCAATCTGGTCTCAGAGCATTTCATATTATGTTGTACTTAAATCTGAGACACTCCATTTGGTATTATATGTTACGTTTCGTATGGTATGTATTAATTTGTGTATGTCCATCACCCATTTTTAATTATATGTTATGAATTACAATTTGTATTATATGTTAGGATTTGCAAAACGTACAATATGTTACACATTTGCAAACATACTATATGTTACGAATTTGCAAAACATATGATATGTTTACGAATTCTAGCTAGGTAGCTAACGTTAGCTAGCTGGCTAATGTTAGCTAGGCTAGGGGTTAGGGTTAGGGGTTAGGGTTAAGGTTAGGGTTAAGTTTAGGAGTTAGGTTAAAGGGTTAAGGTTAGGGTAAGGGTTAGCTAAAAGGGTTAAGGGTTAGGGTTAGCTAACATGCTAAGTAGTTGCAAAGTAGCTAAAATGTAGTAAGTAGTTGAAAAGTTGCTAATTAGCTAAAGTTATCCATGATGAGATTCGAACTCGCAACCTTTGGGTTGCTAGACTACTTTCGATTTTGCCTTAAGTAACCATCTGTCTTATGTAACCATATAAAATGTAACATATCATACTACTTTGAGTGTCCCAGATTTATGTTTACTATGTTATGTCTAGTATATGAGACCAGGCTGTCATATCCTATGAGTCAGGCCTGTGAGACTAGAATGTGGGCGGCCAGCTGCTGCCCATTGTCAGGCTGTGGATGTGGGGTCTGGTAGTCCGAGCTAAATGCCCTGTGCCCGGACTAACACCAGTGGCCTGGGGGGAGGTGAGAGGAGGGGGGGTTGCCTATGGCGTTGATACACATGCCATCAAGCACAGTGGAGGCAAGCAATAAACATGAACAAGAATCACTTACGGGTAATCTAAGACACAGATGTCTATGACAACTTGGAAAGGAGCAACGCAATAAATAAACCCCTACGCTGGTGGCTTTTAGGGATTAGTTTTTTATTATAAATTTTTTTCCCACCTTTATTTAACCAGGTAAGCCAGTTGAGAACAAGTTCTCATTTACAACTGCGACCTGGCCAAGATAAAGCAAAGCAGTGCGATAAAAACAACAACACAGAGTTACATATGGCGTAAACAAAACATAAAGTCAAAAATACAAACAGAAAATATATATACAGTGTGTGTGAATGTAGTAAGTTATGGAGGTAAGGCAATAAATAAGCCATAGTGCAAAATAGTTACAATTTCGTATTAACACTGGAATGATAGATGTGCAAAAGATGATGTGCAAATAGAGATACTGGGGTGCAAATGAGCAAAATAAATAACAATATGGGGATGAGGTAGTTGGGTGGGCTAATTTCAGAATGGCTGTGTACAGGTGCAGTGATCGGTAAGGTGCTCTGACAACTGACGCTTAAAGTTAGTGAGGGAGATAAGAGTCTCCAGCTTCAGAGATTTTTGCAGTTCGTTCCAGTCATTGGCAGCAGAGAACTGGAAGGAATGGCGGCCAAAGGAGGTGTTGGCTTTGGGGATGACCAGTGAGATATACCTGCTGGAGCGCAGACTACGGGTGGGTGTTGCTATGGTGACCAGTGAACTAAGGTAAGATGGGGATTTGCCTAGCAGTGATTTATAGATGACCTGGAGCCAGTGGGTTTGGCGACGAATATGTAGTGAGGGCCAGCCAACGAGAGCATACAGGTCACAATGGTGGGTAGTATATGGGGCATTGGTGACAAAACGGATAGCACTGTGATAGACTACATCCAATTTGCTGAGTAGAGTGTTGGAGGCTATTTTGTAAATGACATCGCCGAAGTCAAGGATCGGTAGGATAGTCAGTTTTACGAGGGCATGTTTGGCAGCACGAGTGAAGGAGGCTTTGTTGCGAAATAGGAAGCCGATTCTAGATCTAACTTTTGATTGGAGATGCTTAATGTGAGTCTGGAAGGAGAGTTTACGGTCTAACCAGACACCTAGGTATTTGTAGTTGTCCACATACTCTAGGTCAGACCCGCCGAGAGTAGTGATTCTAGTCGGGTGGGCGGGTGCAAGCAGCGTTCGGTTGAAGAGCATGCATTTAGTTTTACTAGTGTTTAAGAGTAGTTGGAGGCTACGGAAGGAGTGTTTTATGGCGTTGAAGCTCGTTTGGAGGTTTGTTAACACAGTGTCCAATGAAGGGCCAGATGTATACAAAATGGTGTCGTCCGCATAGAGGTGGATCCGAGCTTCACCAGCAGCAAGAGCAACATCATTGATATATACGGAGAATAGAGTCGGCCCGAGAATTGAACCCTGTGGCACCCCCATTGAGACGGCCAGAGGTCCAGACAACAGGCCCTCCGATTTGACACATTGAACTCTATCTGAGTAGTAGTTGGTGAACCAGGTGAGGCAGTCATTAGAGAAACCAAGGCTATTTAGTCTGCCAATAAGAATGCGGTGGTTGACAGAGTCGAAAGCCTTGGCCAGGTCGATGAAGACGGCTGCGCAGTACTGTCTTTTATCGATCGCGGTTATAATATCGTTTAGGACCTTGAGCGTGGCTGAGGTGCACCCATGACCAGCTCGGAAACCGGATTGCATAGCGGAGAAGGTATGGTGGGATTCGAAATGGTCGGTGATCTGTTTGTTAACTTGGCTTTCAAATACTTTCGAAAGGCAGGGCAGGATGGATATAGGTCTGTAACAGTTTGGATCTAGAGTGTCACCCCCTTTGAAGAGGCAGCTTTCCAATCTCTGGGGATCTCAGACGTTACAAAAGAGAGGTTGAACAGGCTAGAAATAGGGGTTGCGACAATTTCGGCGGCTAATTTTAGAAAGAAAGGGTCCAGATTGTCTAGCCCAGCTGATTTGTAGGGGTCCAGATTTTTCAGCTCTTTCAGAACATCAGCTGTCTGAATTTGTGTGAAGGAGAAGCGGGGGGGGGGGGGGGGGGGGGCATGGGCAAGTTGCAGCGGAGGGTGCAGAGCTGGTGGCCGGGGTAGTGGTAGCCAGGTGGAAAGCATGGCCAGCCGTAGCAAAATCTTTGTTGAAATTCTCGATTATTGTAGATTTATCGGTGGTGACAGTGTTTCCTAGCCCCAGTGCAGTGGGCAGTTGGGAGGAGGTGCTCTTATTTTCCATGGACTTTACAGTGTCCCAGAACTTTTTGGAGTTAGTGCTACAGGATGCAAATTTCTGTTTGAAAAAGCTAGCCTTTGCTTTCCTAACTGATTGTGTATATTGGTTCCTGACTTCCCTGAAAAGTTGCATATCGCGGGGGCTGTTCGATGCTAATGCAGTACGCCACAGTTGTTCAATGGAAACTAACTAATCTCACTTACCCAACGAGTGTGAACTGTGAGCATTCCCTGCTGAGCGTCCCCCCTGCCTACAGCTTCAGCTATCCATGAAAACAACTGATCTAATGGTACAAGTGTAAAGTGCTACCTTGAGTTAATCTCCAAAACCATTGCCATAGTGATATTAATATTCATGGTGCTGCTGAAAGACTAGCGGCGTGAGGTAAATTATGTCTTATTCTGTTTCTCCACCTCCCTGGACTGTTACACAGCCTGTCTGATCAAAACAATCACAGCTAGCTTGGCTCTGAATTAGCATCAGGTGTACACATCTGTGGAGAGGCAGGGGGAAAGGGGGAGAAAGGAGGAAGAGAGAAATATCCAAAACCAAATACCAAACAAGGGGTGAATGAGAGAGAGTGGGTGAAAATAATCTGGGGTAGATCCGTTTTGCCAACTACACTGTATAGAATAGGGTGAACCCAGCTAAATCCAGGTTTGCGGTGTGCATGGCTTTGAGAATAAACACTGGATCTAAGTCCCAGGTAAAGCCCAGCGGCTTACAAAGGATTCAGTGGATGGAATGCTCTCATCTAGTTCCACTATCACAGCTGTACCTCCATCCATTCACTCTCACCATCCATGAAGCCACCAGTGAATATGGCAGTAACATGCATGTTATAACACAGTCTATCCTCAATTAACAGAATACATGAGAATCAAGCTATTAACAGCTCATGTGCCACAGCCTCTGCAGTCAGACCTTACATATGAGCTCTCACTAGGCAGCTGAACACACCCTGGGCCTGGACTGCAAATGTTCCACAAAGGACATGAGATACAAGAGGCCAGAGAAACAAGGGGGGGATGTTATGCTATTCAAATCCAATTTGTGTCTGCGGGAAGACAGTGCAAAGGGCATACAATCAGCTAATGCCACAGTAAGTGCTGCTTCAGCCTCCATTAACTGCTCTGCAAAGGTGCAACACAAGTAGGGGTACAACAGAGAGTCAGTCAGTTATTTGTATAAAGCTAACAGCATCGGCTAACATGCCTTTATCAGAGTAATAGATACAGTGAGGGAAAAAAGTATTTGATCCCCTGCTGATTTTGTACGTTTGCCCACTGACAAAGAAATTATCAGTCTATAATTTTAATGGTAGGTTTATTTGAACAGTGAGAGACAGAATAACAACAAAAAGATCCAGAAAAACGCTTGTCAAAAATGTTATAAATTGATTTGCATTTTAATGAGGGAAATAAGTATTTGACCCCCTCTCAATCAAAAAGATTTCTGGCTCCCAGGTGTCTTTTATACAGGTAACGAGCTGAGATTAGGAGCACACTCTTAAAGGGAGTGCTCCTAATCTCAGCTTGTTACCTGTATAAAAGACACCTGTCCACAGAAGCAATCAATCAGATTCCAACCTCTCCACCATGGCCAAGACTAAAGAGCTCTCCAAGGATGTCAGGGACAAGATTGTAAACCTACACAAGGCTGGAATGGGCTACAAGACCATCGCCAAGCAGCTTGGTGAGAAGGTGACAACAGTTGGTGCGATTATTCGCAAATGGAAGAAACACAAAATAACTGTCAATCTCCCTCGGCCTGGGGCTCCATGCAAGATCTCACCTCGTAGAGTTGCAATGATCATGAGAACGGTGAGGAATCAGCCCAGAACTACACGGGAGGACATATACATGCCCGTCTGAAGTTTGAATCATTCAGATGTTCATTGGCAGAGGAGAACTGGGTGAAAGTGTTGTGGTCAGATGAGACCAAAATCGAGCTCTTTGGCATCAACTCAACTCGCCGTGTTTGGAGGAGGAGGAATGCTGCCTATGACCCCAAGAACACCATCCCCACTGTCAAACATGGAGGTGGAAACATTATGCTTTGGGGGTCTTTTTATGCTAAGGGGACAGGACAACTTCACCGCATCAAAGGGACGATGGACGGGGCCATGTACCGTCAAATCTTGGGTGAGATCCTCCTTCCCTCAGCCAGGGCATTGAAAATGGGTCGTGGATGGGTATTCCAGCATGACAATGACCCAAAACACACGGCCACGGCAACAAAGGAGTGGCTCAAGAAGAAGCACATTAATGTCCTGGAGTGGCCTAGCCAGTCTCCAGACCTTAATCCCATTGAAAATCTGTGGAGGGAGCTGAAGGTTCGAGTTGCCAAACATCAGCCTCGAAACCTTAATGACTTGGAGAAGATCTGCAAAGAGGAGTGGGACAGAATCCCTCCTAAGATGTGTGCAACCCTGGTGGCCAACTACAAGAAACATCTGACCTCTGTGATTGCCAACAGGGTTTTGCCACCAAGTACTAAGTCATGTTTTGCAGAGGGGTCAAATACTTATTTCCCTCATTAAAATGCAAATCAATTTATAACATTTTTGACATGCGCTTTTCTGGATTTTTTTGAGTTTGGAATCTGATTGATTGATTGCTTCTGTGGACAGGTGTATTTTATACAGGTAACAAACTGAGATTAGGAGCAATCCCTTTAAGAGTGTGCTCCTAATCTCAGCTCGTTACCTGTATAAAAGACACCTGGGAGCCAGAAATCTTTCTGATTGAGAGGGGGTCAAATACTTATTTCCCTCATTAAAATGCAAATCAATTTAGATTTTTTTGTTTGTTGTTATTCTGTCTCTCACTGTTCAAATAAACCTACCATTAAAATTATAGACTGATCATTTCTTTGTCAGTGGGCAAACGTACAAAATCAGCAGGGGATCAAATACTTTTTTCCCCTCACTGTAGCTAATATCAGAGAGCTAATTTCTCATGACAAGATATCGTACAAGACAGTAGCCTACAGCTCCACATAGAGATCCAGAAAGATCTGTTAGAGTGAAATATATTCCTTCCTATGCTCATTTATTAAAGCACTGTATGAGTGTGGACCCAGCAGATCTGATGTTCCTGGGTGTTGCGCCATTAGATACATGATGGATTCCTAAACTGTGTGTAAAGCTACAGGTCAACAGATAACACAGCTGCTGCTAATCTGTTAAACAGCTTAAGTCCTATAGAGACCTGAGGAGATCCAGTCATGGCTGTAGATAATCTGAATTGATATGCATGATTATTTATGTCTTTATCCTACTGACCATGACAGAGATAATACTGCAAACAGCCTATCCATAGATCAAGGTCTCCATTCATTCCCAGCTAGTGCTCTTTCTGTCATTCTGAACTGTTCGATCACAAGCAACTATAGGTTCACCTTAAATGCCCCTGACTTCTGTAGAGAGGCTGCAGATACAATAGGTTCATAATGACTGGATTATTTGAATGCTGAAATGGAGTTGGCGTGTCATTTCCCACAGTGTGTGACACACAAATACGTGGTAAAGGTAATTAGACACTTAACACTCTATTCCCATTACACGTTCTGCCTGTCCAACAGCCTGAGGTCACAGCAGGTCCTGCCACTGAATTACGGGAGCTGCACTGACTGGGCAATCAGTCGAGCAATCTATCCACCAGTAATGGACTTGAGACAAGTCATAAATAAACTCACACTGCCATGGCTCTGCCTTACAAATTTAAATGTGTACTTTGTTACATAAATGTGATAATTGTAATAAAACATACTGTAAATGTCACTTTTCTTGTCTCAACCTACAGTAATGATAAAGACGAGAGGGCTGAAAATGGAGCCAGTTTATTATCGCCTAGATTCATATGTAAACACTACAGTACATTCTGTCCACATAGCATAGTATCTAGACTATCTACAGTCCCTGGACAGCTGCTGTGTTCCATTCTTAGAGGAAGAAATTCCCCACATACCTGTGTGAAACGATGAGTGATTTCATCATGGAGCTTCTCTTTCTCTGTGCAGTACAGCGCAGCTACAACTTTTCTGCCCAGTATAGACCCATTCAAGGATACTCAGTGATTTTATAGACTGATGTTGTCATTCATAAGAGTGAGGTACAGTAAATCTGTCAATATCATCCATCATCAGAATCCTGTCTGATTTACTGTTCATCAACTCAATACGTTATCTGCACTGCCAGCCCAGGAAAATCAGATGGAGACAGTCTGACAAGTGATTATGATCAGAAGTTTGACTAGATGTTCGGCTGACAAAAGCTGATCTAGACAACAACATAACATCAGCAATTCTTGAGAGCCTCATTACATTCACTCTTCAGACAAGATTATTGATATTAATTTATTTTCATAAGTCTTATCTCAAAGTACTTATCACATGCTACTGTGGTAGAGGTTAAATCCTGGCAACAACATACACTGAGTGTGAAAAACAATTGGAATACCTGCTCGTTCCATGACATACTGTAGATTGACCAGGTGTCACTTGTTAAATCCACTTCAATCAGTGTAGATGAAGGAGAGGAAACTGGTTAAAGAAGGATTTTTAAGCCTTGAGATAACTGAGACATGGATTGTGTATGTGTGCCATTCAGAGGGTGAATGGGCAAGACAAAAGATTTAAGTGCCTTTAAACGGGGTATGGTAGTAGGTGCAAGGTGCACTGGTTTGAGTGTGCTAAGAACTGCAACGCTGCTGGGTTTTTCAAGCTCAACAGTTTCCCATGTGTATTAAGAATGGTCCACCACCCAAAGAACATCCAACCAACTTGACACAACTGTGGGAAGCATTGGAGTCAACGTGGGCCAGCATCCCTGTAGAACGCTTTTGACCCCTTGTAGAGTCCATGCCTTGACGAATTTAGGCTGTTCTGAGGGGAAAAGGGGGTGAAACTCAATATTAGGAAGGTGTTCCTAATGTTTTGTAAACTCAATGCATATTTTGGCAAAGATGACATGTAATAAAAAATGAATGTGCTATCGGCTGACGGCTGTATATAGTTGCTTGATTAATGCCCATGCTCCCCTCGCCTGCCAGGTACTAAAACAATTAGATTACACACCATCAGTAACTAATGAGGACTTTTCTTCAAAGAGCCTATTCACAGTGGCCTCCTGATATTACACTGGGATAATCTCCTCAGCTATGGGCATTGTAGTGGAACCCTAACCTAACTGCAAAGCAGTAGAGCTCAACATCCAACAGACACAGAGGGGAGGCCAAAAAGAAAGGGACAGAGATAGAAAGACAGTGTAAAACGAGAGTGTTGTTTGCACTGCCCCTGAATTGGAACTCTAAATTTGGAACTGTACCATATTTGGCAGAGAGCCCTACTTATCATGGCTAAATAGTAATCTATCCACAAAATGGGGCCAACAGTCACTATTAAGCCAATGGATTGAGGTCATGCAGTAGCAGCACATTCTACATCAGGGCCAGCCCTAGCCTTCGCGGCAAAACATTTTAGTGGCCCCCCTTTTGGCGGCGGTGAGCAAATTTGAAGTTTTAAAGTTAATTTCCTGCAATTCTACACATTTTGCCAATGGGCGGAGAGAAAATGTTGCAGTTTTTTTAAAGCAACTTTTCTGCAATTCTACACATTTTGCCATGGGTGGAGAAAATAAATTAAGCAATTTAGAACAAGTTTCATGCAATTATACAAAGTTTGCCATGACTTATACCTTGTTAATGTAATATCTGAGTGAGAATGACTAACAAAATCAATGGGGGCCCCCGGGAGGTCAGGGCCACTGGGCACGTGCCCTACGTGCCAGGGTAGGTATTCGGCTACAAGTTTAGATAGCTGAATCAAAAAATTGGTAGCTGACATGTCTAATTGAGTGACTGTCAGTGACTGACATAACAAGAGAAAAACTGCTGATGCACAACCACATTTCGAAATTGCACTTGGTGTATTCTACGATTCTTAAACTCAATAGTAAGTTGAGACCCCTACTGAGTTCCTTTAAAAAAAAAAATGTTGTTTTAATAACAAATATATGCCTGGGGCCAGCCCTGTTCTACATATTCACTTTCTAAATACAACTTGCTGCCTCTCTGTCTGTCAGCACAATGCAACAGACAGACATGATGGTGTTCCATGTTAGTTCCAGGCCGTTCAGGGCGACTGATGGTTTATTTACAGCACAAGCGGACAAGCAGCAGACAAAGGCTAGGAGATCTCAGAGGGGTTTTATGGCAGGGAGAGTCTGAGTCTGAGCCTGTTTTCTGTCTCTCTCTCTCACACACACACACACACACACACACACACACACACACACACACACACACACACACACACACACTCACTCACTCACTCACTCACTCACTCACTCACTCACGTTTACAACTGCGGGCTGCGGCTCCGCAAGTTTTCCATTATGTGGAACTGCAGCGAACAGGGGTAAAACATGAAACGTTCAGCATTATCTGGCTGAATGAAGTCATTGTGCTACCAACATGCTTAAGAGAGGAGAAGGTAATCCTTGGACATAAGAGGCTAGCTGTTGTGGAGACTAGGGGGGATGGCAAGGCCAGATAACATAGAGGGTACATCAATGCGTGCACATTCAGGCACACTGAACAGGCCACAGAAATATGGCAATGGAAAGGTCATTTCAGTGTTCCTAGAACTAGAACATTGAACATTGATCCTACTTTTAAAAAAGGGATGAAAGCAAAAGCACAGCTTTCCTGAAAGCACACCCTATCATCAGCTGCCAGTGAACACTTTCACATACACAGACAAGTGACACCTACTTGTTTAAAAATCCTTGAAGGTCCCCTGAAAGCCAAGCACTTCTCAATCTTGTCCACACAAGCTTTTAAAGAGCGTTATCCAAACAGACAGACAAACACCACAAAGAGACAAGGAGCTGTGGAACAGCAGCCTTTCCCCCTCTTGACCGCCTGAAGAGCTGGGCCAGAGGTCTGGGAGGCTGGCGCACATTAACTATGCAGCAGGGCCCTGGCTGTCACAAAGAAGCACTTACCAATCAATAGCTGGAATATTTCAATTTCATGCTTCTTGAGAAAATAAGACCACTGTGCCACTCACTGCCTGAACAAGTTAAGCCATCATCTTGAATACAGCAAAACAGACAATGGGTGTAGAATGCTCTGTGACAGTGTTTTGCAGCCTATTAAATTAACCTTTAGCTTTTGACACACTGGTAGTGTTTATCAAACAGTTACTTAGAGGACATCACCTCTGGGGTATACAGTAAAGTACACACCTGACCGGGAGGACGGACTCCAAGAGAACATCAAACATATCATTCTATTTACGCAAATAGGGTGTTGAAATGTCTGCTTGGGGGCTCTAATGCAGTAGGATATAAAAAACTTGTAACAGTCTGACAGCTCGCTCTATAAATGACTAATCCTAGATTTAGTATTAATGAAATTCTATCCGGTGGAATCCTAGAAGCTCAATCATCATAAAAGAGGGAGAGCGGGGAGAGAGTTTCTCTGCTAGCAGAGCTAGAGAAGAGAAGCATGCCTTATTAAAGGGAACAGACTGTATAACAAATAAAAGTTTCACAGTTTAAAGGGTAGAGCTGCTGCATGCGTCACCCATTCATACATTAAGCTAGACTAGTGACAAGCCAGACAAGCTGGTTACAGAGCTAATGAAGTCAAATAAACATGCAGTGGGTCAGCACATCCAAGAATCCCTCCCTGGTGAGTTATATTGTCTAGGTTACAGAACTCACTCACTGCAACAATCATTATACAATTATGTAAGCCTCCTCTATTACAATCCAGGCCAGGGTCATTTTGAGCTGGAGTCATTATAAGTCTACAGTCATCCTCATCCAGAATGTTGTGGAAATCATGTTGGCAATATGCAACAGCTGTATGAAGCAGCTGTTTCTACAGTGATTAATGTACAGTGAGCTGGTCCATCATGACTACACTACAGTGACTATATAGCGCAATAGTAATGGCATCTTTTTGTAGGCACTAACTCCGCCATGGCTCGTTTGCCACCAAAGCCTATTGGGAAATAAATTGTTTTTTGTTTTGGTTTTCTTTTTTATATGTGGTAAAGCTTAGGAGATTTTATACATATCGTTCTATAAGAATCTTCATCAGGTAACATAACTTTTTGTGAATCTTGAAGCATTTATGTAATCTAAAGTTTCAAGTTTTAATGTCACATACAGTTGAAGTCGGAGTTTTACATACACTTAGGTTGGAGTCATTAAAACTTGTTTTTCAACCACTACACAAATGTCTTGTTAACAAACTATAGTTTTGGCAAGTCGGTTAGGACATCTACTTTGTGCATGACACAAGTCATTTTTCCAACAATTGTTTACAGACAGATTATTTCACTGTATCACAATTCCAGTGGGTCAGACGTTTACATACACTTAATTGACTGTGCCTTTAAACAGCTTGGAAAATTCCAGAAAATGATGTTATGGCTTTAGAAGCTTCTGATAGGCTAATTTACATCATTTGAGTCAATTGGAGGTGTACCTGTGGATGTATTTCAAGGCCTACCTTCAAACTCAGTGCCTCTTTGCTTGACATCATAGGAAAATCAAAAGAAATCAGCCAAGACCTCAGAAAAAAATGTGTAGACCTCCACAAGTCTGGTTCATCCTTGGGAGCAATTTCCAAATGCCTGAAGGTACCACGTTCATCTGTACAAACAATAGTATGCAAGTATAAACACCATGGCAACACGCAGCCGTCGTACCGCTCAGGAAGGAGACGTGTTCTGTCTCCTAGAGATTAACGTACTTTTGTGCGAAAAGTGCAACTCAATCCCAGAACAACAGCAAAGGACCTTGTGAAGATGCTGGAGGAAACAGGTACAAAAGTATCTATATCCACAGTAAAACAAGTCCTATATCGACTAAACCTGAAAGGCTGCTCAGCAGGGAAGAAGCAACTGCTCCAAAACCGCCATTAAAAAGACAGACTACTGTTTGCAACTGCACATGGGGAGAAAGATCGTACTTTTTGGAGAAATGTCCTCTGGCCATAATGACCATCATTATGTTTGGAGGAATAAGGGGGTAGCTTACAAGCTGAAAAACACCATCCCAACCGTGAAGCACAGGGGTGGCAGCATCATGCTGTGGGGGTGCTTTTCTGCAGGAGGGACTGGTGCACTTCACAAAAGGAAGGAAAATTGAGGAAGGAAAATTATGTGGATATATTGAAGCAAAATCTCAAGACATCAGTCAGGTAGTTAAAGCTTGGTTGCAAATTGGTCTTCCAAATGGACAATGACCCCTAGCATACTTCCAAAGTTGTGGCAAAATGGCTTAAGGACAACAAAGTCAAGGTATTGGAGCGGCCATCACAAAGCCCTGACCTCAATCCTATAGAAAATGTGTGGGCAGAACTTTAAAAGCGTGTGCGAGCAAGGAGGCCTACAAACCTGACTCAGTTACACCAGCTCTGTCAGGAGGAATGGGCCAAAATATACCCAACTTATTGTGGGAAGCTTGTGGAAGGCTACCCGAAACGTTTGACCGAAGTTAAACAATTTAAAGGCAATGCTACCAAATACTAATTGAGTGTACTTTTGACTCACTGGGAATGTGATGAAAGAAATAAAAGCTGAAATAAATCATTCTCTCTACTATTATTCTGACATTTCACATTCTTAAAATAAAGTGGTGATCCTAACTGACCTAAAACAGGGAATTTTTACTAGGATTAAATGTCAGGAATTGTGAAAAACTGAGATTAAATGTATTTGGCTAAGGTGTATGTAAACTTCCGACTTCAACTGTACACAAGTACATTGAAATACCTTTCCTGCAAACTCAAAACCCAACAATGCAATAATCAATAACAATGTATTACTAGAAAAAAGCACACGAGAAATAAGAATAAGAAATTTGAAATACACAATAAAGTAAGTAAATAAGAATACTATATACAGGAAATATTTAAAAAGTCAGTTCCAATATCATATTTACATGTGCAGGCATGCTGGAGTGATGGAGGTAGATATGTATAGGGGTAAGGTGACTAGGCAACAGAATATAAGATAAACAGAGTACCAGCAGTTTGCATGTGAGTGAGTGTGCGGGTGTGTAGAGTCAGTATAAATGTATGTGCATATTATGTGTGAGTGAGTAAATGATGGAGTGAGTGTTTGTGTGTGTGTTGGAGTGACAGTTTGTGTGAGTGTGTAGGGCCCTGTGAGTATGCATAGAGACAGTGCAAATACTAAAATAAAAGGTCAATGAAGATACAAGGTAAACTCGGCCCGTGTAGCTATTTTGATCGCTATTTATCAGCCGTATTGCTTGGGGATAGAAGCTGTTCAAGAGCCTGTTGGTGTCAGACTTTGATGCACCGGCACCTCTTGTTGTGCAGCAGCAGAGAAAATAGTCTATGGCTTGGGTGGTTGGGGTCTTTGACGATTTTCCGGGCCTTGTTTTCACACTGCCTGATATAGAGGTCCTGGATGGCAGGGAGCTCGGCCCCAGTGATGTACTGGGCTGTCCGCACAACCCTCTGTAGCGCCATGTGATCTAGTGCGGTGCTATTGCCATACCAAGCAGTGATGCAGCCAGTCAATATGCTCTCAATGGTACAGCTGTAGAACCTTTTCAGGATTTGAGGGCCCATGCCAAACTTTTTCAACCTCCTGAGGGGGAAGAGGCACTGTCGTGCCTTCTTCACGACTGTGCGTGTGTATTATGACCATTTTAAGTGCTTAGTGATTTGGACACCGAGGAACAAGCACACAGAGCACATAAAGCCTTCATAATGCATAAAGGTAATGTTAATTGACTGATAGTATTTCATAAAACAAAATGTATAAGATCTCCTAAACTTGGTTTAACCTCAGACCTTTTTTTGGCATTTATCCCAAAACCCCATTTCTCCATTAATTTCCCCTGCTGGCACTCTCTATAGTGTAGTCACGTAGTAAAGCAATTCCTTGAGTTTACACCTCTGAGAAGCAAGGGTTGACAGGAATAGATAATGATCATCATCACCATCAATGAGAGTTGACTGTATTGTGTCATGTTTTGTTTTTCGCCCCTGACATTTGGTATAACAATAGGTTTCTCTTTCTAGAATGTGAATGTCATAACAGGATTCAGACAGTATCAGAATGATTTTGAGTCTTCTGTCTGGGACATATGCACCATTCACTTTGCGTCAGCTCTGGCTTTTTACTGCCAGGTTGTCTTTCACACAGTGTCACTTAACTACCATTTATCATGTTTACTGGTAGTCACCATCTGGCGGAAAGCATTGAGAGAAAAGGTCCTTTTCAATCATTTCAGGCACTTGGTTTGCTTGAACATAAAAGTATCAGATGCTTTTATTATTGTCTCTTTTGCATCTATTTTCAAAACACATGTCCCTGTGTGTGTGGACATGCTGTGAGGCAGGAGGGGGCACATTAAAACTAAAACTCCAGCTGATGAACACTGCACCTGGGAGCATTTAAGAGCAAGAGAGCAGCTTTCTTTAAAATAGGTCAAGTCTAGGCCTAGAGTTTTTTGGTTTTCCATTTGTGTACAACCAGCAAATCAGAACATATTCAAAATGTGTGACATATTCAAAATCTACCCGTTTTTCTCTGACAAACACCAGCAACGATCATGACATTGACCAAACCAGCCAGTGTGCACCCATAATTACCTGTATTCCAGAAACACATCTGGTGGATTGAAAGTGAGTCTGATTTATAGAAACACATGGACTGAGTGACACCTCATAGCATCATAATGGTTGTTGTTGGGATAAATCAATAGTAACCTAACAGTATATTATCAGCTGTCAGCCTCACAGCATATTGGCCCTGCAAACCAGTGTGTTTACAGCAATATCCTAGGTCCCTAAAACCTAGGCAGGTAGGTAATTACAGTGTAATTACAGTGTAGATTGCCTATATATTGTTACAATGGTTATTATACAACTTTTACCCAACATTTGCAAATAAACTCACAATGGAGACAGCTGGGTAAACTGCACATGACCCTGTCACAGCCCATGAGCCATGAGGCCCACACAGGGTGATTTAAGCGACTTATTTACTTATGTATCATGTCCAAATAAACAAACGTGTGTCAAAAACAATATATATATATACACATAGCTCTACTGTAGGCCTACGTTCTTACCTCTAAAGAATCCAGATTGAGAAAGCTGGCTATGACAAAGCCATCAATAATGTCCTCCTCCTGAGACACTGACCCCCGTCTCTTTCTCCGAGAGGGACGCGGGGGCCGGACATAATGCAAGTTGGTCATTTTTCCATAATTACACAGGGCCTTATCCCTGAACGGACTTTGCCCCCGGTCGGAGCCAGATGATGGACTCCGGTTTTGATCATTCCTGTCAATCACATCCCTTCTCCGCACGCGGTCTCGTTGAGATCTTGACCTCCGGCTGCGCTTTATTTCCCCTTCCATTTTAGAACTCCGAGGCGAGGCGAATACCATACCACACTGAGAAATGTGTTCTATGTCCATTGAAAGTAGCAGTGTGCAGAAGAGCCCTTGCTTTGTTTTACAAAGTTTTACAACGATCTGAGAGAATCCTCGATCCAACAATAACATAAACAGACAATAACATTTTCGAAGGATGGTTTCGATTAGAATGCGAACCGTGGCTGCCCTTCTAATGGCACCACCAATACATCAGATTGTTAAGCTACTCACAATAATATTGACTTGTTCTGCAACTTTGTTACAATTGTTGTCTGACTGCTACAGTGCGACCTGCCAGACAAAGCTATGACGCTGTATCATGTCGGACTGTTCTTCTACTTCCATCACCGCCCAATCCATGGTCAGGCCACTGCCATAGCCTCCCCCCAAAACGTTTGTGCTTGGCTAGAGGGATCCCGTTTATTCAACTAAAATATAAATAGCCCAAATAACTCTCTTTTGAATGTTGATTGCCCGATTGATTGATTGTTACTTATAGGCTTTGAAATGTAAACGAGATCCCACATTAATAATACACACAACGCAATAAATTCCGTGATGTGTATAATAAACCATCCATTGACAGATAAAACCATCCATGCGCAGGCTATTTGTTCAAAGCGTGTCAATCTTCACGCCAAAGTCCCCAAACCTCAGCCAGAAAACGACTCGCCTTTATCCTGGGTCGTCTTCATAATATATCCAGCTTCGAATTCTTCTTTCCGTGGTTCCTTAGTTGATATGGTTTGTTCCTTGGTTCGAAGGTTCCGTTGATCTTGAGTAAATCGTTGGGTAAATGGTATTAAAGAGACACATTAGATTTAAAACCCACTCCCCACTTCGCCCTACATTTCATTTTCGTTTGTAGCCTAGATTAAATCCCAATAGCCTGAACAACTGACGTATTTCCGCAACCTCTGCACGGAAGTGTCTGAAATGATCATCCACTTGACAGTGACGGGAGGAGGTGAATGATGGGACTTTACTTTGACCCTATTTACTGCTTTAAAATGTTCGTTCTGTCCTTGATACTGTATTAAATAGAAGTTATTACGGCTACCAGGTTATTAAAACTGAGTATAGCCTATGCTGAGAATAGCATACAGATTGATTCTTGGAAAAATTAGTTAGTGATGGTGAAATAAAGGGGTTTGAGGAAATGTAATTCATATATTTCATCATTAGTCATGAATAAATGCAAACAAAACTGTTTTTCTATATACATTATTGATTTTGCATAATAGCCTACTGCTAATGGGAAAATAGAGCCTAAGGTGTGTGTTAAAAGGCAGTGTTAAATTAATATTCTTGATATGATGTAGACCTAATCCTACTGCACAAGCATGCTTGGCATCAGCGTTCCTGTGCCAAGAAAACAAATAAACCCCCATAGCTGTAGGACCGACAGTACATATTCACTGTAAAGTAGTGTTCAGTGTCCTGCTACAATTGCCTTAGGAATAGGAAGTAGTAGAAAAGCTTCCTCAGGTTGCCATTATCAGTAACATCCAGCCTTTATTGTGGTTTGCATCTCTCCCATAGGAACCTTAGCACAATGTTAAAAGATGCATGAAGCATGTATATGCTCTCATCATCCTCTTGGTTGTCCTCTGGGTTTCTGAACAAAGTTGATCTGATAACAGCTTTATGATTGCAGTTCTACATGAAGCTCTGTTATCACATAACTTCCTCCAAACTCTGTTGAGTGTAAGTAAACCTCTTTAATTTCCTATATTTGTATAGTGAGGGCTGTGCTGCAATAGTTACTACATTCCCCCATTCCCCAGTGTCTCAGATCTCAAGTGGTGCACTGACAGACTCTGTGGGTTTTCCATGATTAAGTGTTCCATTTAGAAAGGTCCTGTAAGTTGAGTGCACCACTAGGCTGCTCTGGAACAGAAGGTTCTAACCTCCCCAGGGCACCAGGAGTCCATTCAATACTCATTAAAGGCCCAATGCAGCCGTTTTTATCTCAATATCAAATCATTTCTGGGTAACAGTTAAGTACCTTACTGTGATTGTTTTCAATTAAAATGGTCAGAATGAAACAAAAATAGGTTATTAGCAAAGAGCCATTTCTCAAGCAAGAATTTTGCTAGGACTGTCTGGGAGTGGTCTGAGTGGGGAAAACTGAAAACTAGCTGTAATTGTCAGAGGTTTAGAACTCTCTTTCTTATTGGCCTATTAACTAATTTACTGCTGGTGATGTCACCAGGCAGGCCAAAACTCCATCCCACCAAAACAGGCTGAAATTTCAGGTGGTCTTTTCAAACAGCTCTTACGCTAAAAGGGCATTATCATCATTTTCATAATTTCACAGTATTATTCCAAAACCCATAGTGTGGAAATATAGAGAATGCCAAGAGTGTGCAAAGCTGTCATCAAGGCAAAGGGTGGCTATTTGAAGAATCTCAAATATAAAATATACTTTGATTAGTTTAACACTTTTTTGGTTACTGCATGATTCCATATGTGTTATTTCATAGTTTTGATGTATTCACTATTATTCTACAATGTAGAAAATAGTAAAAAATAAAGAAAAACCCTGGAATGAGTAGGTGTGTCCAAACTTTTGACTGGTACGGTATAAAACACAGGAAAATCACATTTTTGACTGCACTGGGCATTTAATGTCAATTTGCTTCCTTGTACTCTTATTTCCATCCAACTATTAAATTAGATGCAATGGTAATGCTAGCTGGTTATGGTCTTTTACATATATTTGTTTTACTCAACTGAGGCTCTCCTTTTCTTGTTGTCATTCCCAGATGCCAATGCATTGAGTCTAAAAGCACACTCCAGATTAACCTTTGTGATGGGATCAATTGTCTACTTTCTCATTAAATCTGACTGATGAGTTGCAGTGAAATTATATGACACACAGAACAGAGGAGGGACAGAACTGAAACCACCTTTTGTGAGAAACAGTGAGGAACATTGGAGTGGGCCTTGTTTTCTTTGTCGTACTTCACACTGTGTTTTCACAGATCTGAGAGATCACAGGGCACATTTGTGCAATGCTATTATTCAATGTTATGTAATACTAAGAGGGCCCAGTCACCACAGCCATTTCATTTTGTGTTACACTGCCATCTGCTGGCGTAATACCTGGCTCTTTGAAAACCCCTTGAGAAACCAAAAACATGTCTGTCGGTAGAGGGCAGCACAGGTCTATCCCAAGTCACTTATTGTGCTGTTGGATCCAGTTGTCCAACCTTTACATTGTAACTTTTACTTCGGGATGGATGGTTTAACCACAACCTCCACGTTCCCCTTTATACATCTTTGTTTGTGTGCACATTGCACAAGATCTATCAGAACTACCTGACAGAAATGCTCTCATCAAAATAATCTTGTCATCTTTAGTTACATTTCCAATGCAGACGTTTTTATCTCAATATCAAAACATTTCTGGGTAACAATTAAGTACCTTACTGTGATTGTTTTAAATTAAACAGTCAAAAATAAATAAAAATAGCTTCTTAGTAAAGAGTAGTTTCCCAAGCAAGAAATTTGCTAGGACTGTCTGGGAGTGGTCTGAGTGGGTAAAACTGAAAACTAGCTGTTATTGGCAGAAAGGTTTGGAACTCTCTTTCTTATTGGCCTATTAACTAATTTACTGGCAGGCAGGCCAAATCTCCATTCCACCAAAACAGGCTGAAATTCCAGGCATCATTTTCACAGTATTATTTCAACCTCACATTTTTGACTGCACTGGGCCTTTAAGGACGAAATTGAATCTTTTCAATGTTCCCATATAGTAGAAATATTTGCTAAGCAAAAAAACTATACATTTATTCCAAAACTGATCAAGGAAAAGAAGATAGAACTTCAGCTTGTCTGTATCAATGTCTCCCACCCCCATCTCAGAGTTCAAAGAAACAAATGCCATTGAAACATGTTAGGTAGACTTCCTAAATTCTGTTTGCCTATTGCAATGAGGCAAGGAACTATTTTATTGTTATTCTCACCATCTTTCTCCTGCCTGTGATGTGCTGTATAATGTGCTGTATGTCCACAGCCGCTGCAACCTGAAGGCCCTCATGAAGCTGTTCATCTGGCTAAGAGAGTGCCACTGGCTCTGAATAGGATGTGATGTTTTTGGACATTTCCTAATACAGAGGCAGGATTGCCTGGGAAATGTGTTTGGATTAATTCACTGGGAAGGGCCATGCTAGAGAGAGAGAGAGAGAGAGAGAGAGAGAGAGATCGAGAGAGGAGAGATAGGAGAGAGAAGAGAGAGAGAGAGAGAGAGAGAGAGCGAGAGACGAGAGAGAGCAATAGAGATTATAGTCGAGATGAGTGCAGGTGAGGAGGTGAGGGATTGGGTACGATCTAGAGAAGATAGGTGTATTAGATTTCTCTTTAATTTTTTGCTCTGCTATTTGGTTCTAAATTTCTATGAAGTTGCTACGCTTCTCTTTCTCTCTCCTCTCTCTCTCTCGCTCGCTCTCTCTCTGCTCCTCTCTGCTCTCTCTCCTCTCTCCGTCTCCCTCTTTCTCTCTCCTCTCTCTCCTCTCTAGAGTTCTTCTGATGCTGTGAGAATTATGAGCTAGGCCATGGGGTATTCTTCAGCAATGGGGTGTAGTGTTGGTTTACAGAATAGCTCCGGGATATTGCTCTTGAATGGTTTAAGATAGAAATGCCAAACCAACGTAAAAATGTGCAGACAGGCTGCCTTTTGCTAGTGTCAAATATATCTTAAGGGACACTTTATGTTGCTAAAGGTCAGTGTATATATATATATATTTTTGCAATATCAAGTTTAATGGAAGATTCCTTGCCTTAGCCTATTGTCCTGGGCACTTTATTGCATAATTCAGTGAGAAAATATGAACAGTTGGCATTTCTGTTCTGTGCAGACATTTTCATTCGTCACTTTGCTTAAAATAAATATTGTTTTGGTCCCAAATCAACTTTTGTTAGGAACATTAAGCTGCCCTCAGCAGTTTTTACCCAACATGTAAAAGATCTTATGAAGT